AGAGAGAGAGAGAGAGAGAGAGAGAGAGAGAGAGAGAGATTAGTGACGCAACGGAGCGTGCGATCTCGGTGGTCCATTCGTCGAACCTTTTTCTTCCTTTCTTCCAATATTTTTTCTTCCTTTCATTTTCTATAACTCCGCCTTCTTAACTTTTTTTTCTCTTCCTCTTCACTCTCTATTATCTCGACCTCTAGTAGACATATACGTTGAACAGTATGGGTGGTAAAGAGGGGGGTGATAGGTTCACACGAATACTTTACACCTTTTGGTCCCACGAATTTCCATACTCGATACATTCGGCACTTGTGGCTTTCACTGTCTCACTTCTCCTCCCACGATTTTTTACATTTGTATTATCGTGGTGGGAGAGCCTGTGGTGCGTGTTTTCAGTCCGAGGGCTTTTCAGTGCATTACTCATGTGTCTCGTCGAGCGTTCACTTGAAAAACCGCTCTTTTGATGGCCTCCTCATGCATGAATTAATTTACAATGGTGTCGTTTAGTTTCGCTCGTTCAATTTTATCGAAACCAATGAGTTCTCTTTGTAATTCAATATTATACCGTTAATTATTAATTCGATTGCATTTGAACGTATTTACGTAACACGATATAATCTCACCACCTGCAGTAACATTATACCGCTCTTGTTAAACGTAATACCTTTATTAATGATTGGTTCTATTAATTCAAAGCAGAGGAGTCGTTTGATTAGGTTGAAATCCAATTCGTTGAAATAATTCCTAATGCAAATGAATTTAATTTACAATTGATTCCAGGGGGCGGGCAAATTTCTGCAATCAGTATTATTTGACCATTATTCTTCGGTAGCTAATTTAATGTAGGAGTCGATGGTGAACTAAAAGTCGTGTATAATTCTGAACAAATATGTACACGGAGAGAAATGTTCAGTAAAAACTACGGAACTCACAGTTCGCTCACCGATTACGGAATCGACTCAGAAAATTTAAGTGACGGTGTCGTAATTTTTCACAGGAGATTCAGGTAAAAATTATGGAACGCTCTGGAAAAAATCCGTGACAGTTCCGTAAAATTTCCTACAACCACATTTCGCTTCGGAATTACGAAAAAGACACGTAATTTTTATTGAATATTTCTCTCCGTGTAACCCTAGTCATATTCAAAGAGAAAAAAGTTCCATGCGATCCGCGATAAGCTTCTCGAATTTAGAATATTTTCCCTTGCTTTGACAGCGATTTTCGTTGTTTGAGAATATGATATCACATAAAAGGTTGCAAATGGTGGCATCAAAAGAACAGGGAAATGTCTTTGTTTTTTTATGTAATTTGGAAAATACAGCTGAAAAAAATCTTATCCAAAATTAAATCTTTTTCAGCATTCCAAAGATTGGTGAAATTGATTTACAAAAATTTCTCGAAAAGGATTGGGGTCGACTTTTCGAGAAATTTTCAACGAACACCTAAAAAATTGTCATCAAAATGGAATTCGTCATGACTCAAAAAATTGATAACAATATCCTCTTGATTCCATCAGAATATGATGGGGGTCGCATAATTCGTGGCTGCGTTAGAGCACATTGTTTATGCGATTTGAAAGAGAAAATCTGTTTTTGTATCATTACTGAAAGAATCATCAGTAATAGCAATTAAATGAGGGTTTGAAAAGTATATTTTAATGCCTCCTTGAACAAGTTGAAAGATGGTGAGAACAGCATAATTGTTTATCAAGTTATACAATATCGTCATGAGCTTTTTATATGAAAATCTCAATTACTATTAAACTCAGGTACCAGCCTACACTGATAGAATGATTCATTTATTCCAAACGAGATTCGTTAATTGTTAACGAATGGTAGAGTTGAAGATGACCAAATAAATATTCGTTAATGTTTAACGAATGGTTCACTTGATAGGTGAAAGTCGAGTCAAACAAGACTTCTCAAGTATGCATTCGTTCACTATTAACGAATAAACATTTGATAAGGCCAAATAGACCCTGGCCTTCAACTAAATCCATTTGTTAACAATAACTAATTTTGTCTATCAGTGCCTTATGTGGAATACTTATTCATATTGATTCATCTCTTTGCTAAAACTCTGGCTAAATCTTAAATAAACTTTGATTAAATCCCGGCCACACACTGATTAAACCTTGATTGAACCTTGACTAAACTTAGATTGAAAACGAATTCGACTCTTGAGAGGGTCTGAATGTAGAATTATTTGACAGAACGAAATAATACGCAAAATTTTGGGGACATTCAAATTGATAATAGTACTATGACATGAAAAAATAGAAAAATAGTGATGAAATAAGAATTTCAAAAAAGAGAACTCATTCGGAAGCAAATTGCCAATTTATTAGTAACAATTACTATACTCATTTATTTAAAAAATGTCATTGTCCACTTGTTTTTTCTAATTTAAGGTAGAATTTATTCAAATTTTGTTGTCTAAAAATCCCAAGTGCCCAGCACGAGAGAATGGGTTTTTCTCTAATTTAGAGGTAGAATTCATTCAAATTTTCCCCGAAAATTTGGGAGGCTTTTTCTATAAAAAGAAGCTTTAGGGAAATATTCCGACTCGATTGTAAGGTTGAGAGCTATTCGGGGGGTTATTTTTCGCCTGGATTTCAATCAAGTAGAAT